TGGGTCAGTTAGAGATGGTGTGCTGTGGTGAGGGGGAGGGGTAGAGTCTAAACCTTTGGGCTTGGGGTAAAACTGAGAAGTAAGGCTGTCAGAAGTATTCTTGCTCAGCCAGCTGTCCCAGAGATGTAACGGCTGCCAAATCGTGGCCTTGTCCAAGGCCGTGGGAATCTTACGGTGATGTCCTAAAACCATCATATTCAATGAGGCTTGGGAGCTTTGGGCTGAGAAGACAAGACCACATCACCAGTCCTGGCCACCACAACTCAGGAGCCAGTGCTCACTAGTTGTCTAATGCTAGACCTGGCCAAGAGCGGGCTGCTTGGCTGTCTTTCCAGTCAGAGATTAAAATGATATTAAAAGAACAGCTACCAAAGCACCCAGCAGTATGCCTCACGCAGCCTTTCTGCCTGGGAATCCCCTCTGGTCCTGACCTCACGTGCTCTGGACCCCAAACCAGGCCAGTGTCATCAGCCATAAAAGTTAGCCTGTCTCTGGCCAGGAAGAACATTCCAGGGGTGAAGGGTCTGGCGAGGGCTTCTGTTTCTTCCCTCCTAATGCTCTTATCCCAGCCTTCCATAACTTCTCACAGGTTCCATTTATTTATTTATTTATTTATTTACTTACTTATTTTGGTTGTAGCCTCCAGGGTGTAGCTCCTAAATAGCCCTCCGAGGAAGGGTCTAGGGACTGGGCCCTGGAAACAGTGGAGATGCAGCCGCGGGTAGTACCCTACAGCTCAGGACCTCCATGGTTTTGCCCTCCATGCCGCTTACCAAGGAGAGGGCCACATTCTGAAGAGCAGACCTCAGGCCCTGCTCCCTGCGGCCTGTATGCCTTGCCACAGTCACTCAGCGGCCGTCCTCTGCCCCTTATACAAAGGCCAGTGCACCCTGAAGAGCAAGCAGAAAGCACCCTTAGCTTATTGCATGGCCGGCGGTTTGTATCTCTTTCTCCGTGCAGCAGGCAGCCTCTCCTGGCCAGGAAAGCTTTTACTTTTATCACAGTTTCTAGAGCTTGGCCTAGAGAGGGTAGGACTGCTACTCAGCAAGGGGCTTTCTTAGGGCTTACTCGGGATGTGTCCTTCATCTTAACTGTTGTAAAATGCCCAGCCCCTCTGCTCACTGCAGTGTAGAGGCAGACTAGGGTGTGGAACACGCTTCTTGTAAAAGGTGTGTCTTTGAGGTACTCTGCCTTGTATGTCCCCTGATGATAGTGTCGCTATGGTTACTATCCGTCTGGAAAAACACGAGAGTAAACAAGCTGGAGTACTTGCTCAGTGAGCTGGAGTCTCTCTGAACCCCGTCACTGCTGTGATGGGCACAGCCCCTGCTTCCTCCCTGCGGAGTTCAGGGCCCGCTCTTTGGTGGTAGGGACCTGGGGCTGGACATTCTTGTGCATGCTGCTGGGTTTTGCAGAATGGAAGCCTTAGACTTCACCTCCTTGATACAGAAGGCAAGGAAGCAACTCCCTGGTCTGCTCTTCCCACGTGTCTCCTTGTCTCCCTGAATCCAAGTGGAACGGGCAACATGCGAGGCATCCTTGAAGTTTTCCAAAGGAAAACTTAAGGCCATAGAAGCTGGAGCCACAGATGAGACCCACGGATCAAGCTAACGAAAGCTGCATGTCCTCAGGTCTGCAGGGCTCAGCGCGCCCCTTGACCTCTGGGGCTTGCTTCCCAGGCCCTCAGTTGCTTTTTTCCATTTCTCACATGCACCTTTCCACCCAAGTCAGCGGCCCACACCACTCGGTTTCATTTTCGTCTCTAACATTTCCCTGCACGGAGAACCAAGGACAGTTTTAGAAACAACACACACAAAAATTCAGAAACCCAGAGAGACCACAACTCTCCTTCACCCCCCCCACCTCTGCCCAGGAAGGCCTTCTGCTGGCACTCCTGCAAGAACAGGAAGCAGGCTTCGTCTCCAGAAACTGCTCCCACGTGATTTGCTTGTCACGGGGTGGGCTTTCGGGTTTAGAACAGTCCACCACTAAAGGGGCCTGCATGTTCGCTGTTTGTAATAAGGAGCGGGTAAGGCACCCTTAGCACATTAGGGTCAGCAGACCATAACCTACCAGCCGCTGTCTGCATGCTCTGGCTCTAGACACTGGTGGCCCCTCCTTCCCAGTAGCCCCAGAGAAGGGGGAAAGGCTGGAGAAGGGGAGTGCGCTAGAGGCTAGAAGCTTTTGAAAATGGGCCACACCTGTCCATAATGCCTCTTAAGCCTTCCTAAGTGCTGAGTGTCAGTCCTGGGACTGCTCCCGTGAGTCCCTCTCTCTGCCTTTTACTGCCAGAGTCTGCTCTTTGGGGCCTCAGGCACCTACCTACCCGGCTAACTTTTGAGCTGTGGGTAGGTTGGTGGCCTTGCAGGGACAGGAGCCTGAGGCGGGCCGTTAGCATCTGTGACCCCTGCACCCTGAGACACTACACGTACCCTCCTGGTCTGACAGTTACAGGGACCTTTCGGGCAGCGGTTCCCTGGGTACTGAGAAGCTGCTGTGCTGAAGTTGTAGGAGAACAGCCCTGTGGGCTAAGGCGGGAAAGGTGTGGGCATTTCTCCAGCTAGTGCCTGCCGTACTGGCCAGTCTCCCTCCTCACACTGTGGCTCTCTTGTGTGTGAAGCCCAGGTCCAGTACTCTGTGGGGCTCGGGCCGGTGCAGCCTTGTATGCTGTCCCTTCCTGCTGCTAAGGCAGGAACCCCAGTGCCTTTGCGTTCCTCTGAAACACAGGGCTGTCTGTCTCAATGATTCCCTGGATTCAGGGAAGGTGACCAGCCATTCCAAGTGTCACTGATTTCCCCTTCCCCTGTCCCACTGCCACTATCAAAGTGTTCGTGAGCAGCCAAGCACACTCATCTTTATACATGCGTAGCAGAGTTTTGCGTGGGGCTTAGTTGTTAACCTCAAAAAATATACAAACCCTCTCAAGTATGGTGGTGCATGCAGCAATCTAGCTCTCAGGAGACTGAGGCAGGAGAGTCACAGGTTTGAGGCTAGCCTAGCTCCCTACAAAGTCTGAGACCAAAGTCAGTGTCTCGAAGCAAGCACAATAGACAACCCTGAGTGTTGTGTTTCAGGCTTGGTTTTCACAGTTACCAGTTTATCTCCACCCATTCCAGGGTGTGTCCAGGCACTGGCTTTGTCAGGGTAATCCATAACGTACAGCATAACTGGAACATCAGACCTTGTTTAGTGCCAGCAGAAGGGCCTGACAGGTAGAATGATGGCGTGGGAAACAGATGATACATTCAGGAAAAGTCTGCACATCCCACAGACAGTGAGGAGTCACTCATGAGACTGCCCAGGTTACCAAGGGAACTGTACTGCTGAGCAGGGATTGCAAGGCATCTCGTGCCAGTGAGCACTCCCCAGTGCCATTGGTAATGGCGGAAGACATGTATTTTTTCCCCACGAGACTGCCTGGATGGGCAGGAAAACAGACTTGATAAGGTTAGACTCAGCCTCACAGCCCTGTTTTATCCCCGTCATGATTTTTGTTTACCAAATGCTGAAGAATGTGATCGTGTCACTCTTAATCAGTAAGCAACAGTCTGCATGCTGAAGGTGTAGCGCTGCTTAGTGGGGAAGTAGACTGATGTGGTTAACACACGTGTCCTTCATATTCCTGTGTGTAGGTTTGGAGATCATTTAAAAGACATGTTAGGGATACATAGCATTGTCAACTGTTGTCACGATTCCGGGCACATCATTAAAAGTTTCCCTAGAATGTAACTGAATCTTTGTACCATTTGACTTGTCATTCCGCCTTCACTACACCTCAGCCTCAACTTCTAAATTAAACTTCTTCTGATTTGGTGTCTTAGTAAGCTCTCCCAGTATTTACGCTTCTGTGCCTGGCTTATTTCATGTAGACATGTCACTTGAGGTCTGTAAAGTTCAGGTCCGTACATGTTACAAAGGATGGGGTTTCTTGGAAAGAGGGACTCTGACCATACGCAGATTTAACAGTTCACTGGGCTCTCAAGACATCTAGATGCTCCATTCCCAAATACTTCAGCATGGATTTCCGTGTGTATTTTACTTATTTTCACTTTGTGTTTGCCTGCATGTGTGCACACAGTGTAAGCAGAGGCCAAAGATGCCTTCAGATCCCAGGAACTGGAGTTACAGTTGGTTGTGAGCTGCCATGTGGGTGCTGGGAACTGAACCCAGGTCCTCTGGAAGAGTAGCCAATGCTCTTAACTACAGCACTGTCTCCAGCCACAGCATAAACTTCTTAACAAGAATGTTCCCTTCAGATTAACCATGCTGCTGTCCAGTTTAGGAAAGATAATTCTTGGGGCGTGACACCATGTTCGGAGCCCTCCATGTGTCTCCAGAGGACTTGACTTTGGAGGATCCATCAGAGTGACACATTGTAGCTGTTTCTGTCTCTCGCTCTTTTCAGCCTGTAGTATCCCCACCCTTTTGTTTTATGTTACTGTGGCCTTGACTTTGAGCCTGGTCACAGCTTCCCGACTTCAAATCCAGATGTGCAGGTGTCCTTCCTTGACTCGAGCATCAGAGATCTTTCTTGTCTATATCAAGCTCCCTCTCCCTGAATTCCACAAATGGGTGACAGGTTACCAGAAGTGCAGGTAGTGTGTCCCTCTGGCCACACTGCTACCTGCGTGCCATTGGCCACACCCACTCCAAACCCCCCTCACAGGCATCTGTCTGGGAAATGGGAGCCAGAGCTGGGTTTCTATCTTAGTCCCACCATGTACTTACTTAGGGCCTTCCTTCCACCGGTCTCCATTCCTCCCCAGCCTCTCCATTTTCAAAACAAAATGCGGAACCTTTAATCCTGCCCATCTTCCCTATTAAACCTGCCTGGTTTCTCACAGAAGTACTGCCTGCAAAGCATCCCTGTCCCTTTCCACCCTGTAGCTGCTTCCTGAAGTAGCCACTTCCTGTGCCCATTCCTGCACCATGAATAGGGGCACAGGGCCGTGTGAGTTCTTTAATGCCTGAAATGACACATGCTCTTCTCTGCCCCACAGCCGAGATCCTGGAGCTGGCCGGTAATGCAGCAAGAGACAATAAGAAGGGGCGGGTCACTCCCCGGCACATCCTGTTAGCTGTGGCCAATGACGAGGAGCTAAACCAGGTATGGGGCTCTCCAGCCTGCCCCCATGCAAGCTAGCATACACTCGGACTACTCAGGAGAGGCTGTGGTGGCTGCTAAGACCTCAAGCAGCTTCCTGTCTGTTGGGGCTTCATTGGGAGTAGGCTGTGGAGATGACAAGGGAACTTAGCCGCTCTGGGACAAATGGTAGTGTAGATTGCAACCAAGCGAGGACTCGGTCCCCGTGTAGTCTGAGTCCTGTGCCCAGCCGTGTAGCTGCCACAGAGGTGGCAGCTCCGAGGGTGATGTGCATGAGCAGGGTTGGCCTCTTAAATCAGGGAGGGCAGTTCTGGAGCAGGGTGGCCTGGCTCACCACCTGTGCCTTTGGTTTTCCTGCAAGCTGCTCAAAGGTGTCACCATAGCCAGTGGGGGCGTGTTGCCGAATATCCACCCTGAGCTGCTAGCGAAGAAGCGAGGATCCAAGGGGAAGTTGGAGGCCATCATCACTCCTCCGCCGGCCAAAAAGGCCAAGTCTCCATCCCAGAAGAAGCCAGTGGCTAAGAAAACAGGGAGCAAGAAGGGTGCCCGGAAGTCTAAGGTATGGGATCTGGCAGGGACGTGTGGGTTGGTGTGAATACTCCCAGCCCTCTGTTTCCCTGATGGGGAACCGGAGGCAGGAGCATGCGCGAGCCCAGTTCACTGGCTAGTCAAGAGTGTCTCACGGGACCTGGCCACAGTTGGAGGACTCAACCCCTTGGGATTTGGGGATGGGTGGTGAGTGTTCAGGGAGCAGTTGGAGATGGGTGGCAGCCCGGCCCCACACGTTCTGTACTGGGTCCTCCACACAGGTGTGAGGGCCTATGGGAAGGTTTCCTTGTGCCAGGGATTAGCCACCATGCAGTCCTCAGAGGGGTCATCTGCCCACATGCTTTGAGGCTGAGTTGTGCAGTGTCATTGTGTTGCCGTGGCAACATGTCCTCCTCTGGGCCTCTTCTAGCAGGACCAAGCCAGACAGTTGTCATTCAGAACACTTGGCTTCCGTCAAGAAAGGAAAGCAATGCAGTCTCCAGGCAGTTGCTCACAGACCTAGCCTCACTGGAAAGTAGTGTCCTAGATGATCTGTGGGGAGGAAGACTCTAATTAGCATGGCCTGGAGTTATTTTGATGGTAAAGTTCACTCGAACTGTTCTGGCGCCCGTGTTAGCTGCAGAGAAGGTGCTGTGTCTCCTCACACACACTTGTGAGTGCAAACAGCTCACTGTGAGATCAAAATCTGAACAGACACCTTCTTTCCAAGGCCCAGAATTGGTGTGCACTCTTGGGAAGAGAACCCTGACCTTGAGGAGCAGCCAGTACTCCCAGTGCTTGCCGCCTGGCCCAGGGGCCCTGGAGGAGGCGGTGCAGGCAGGGCAGGCACTTCAGACTGTTCCTCATTAGAGTCTCTATAAAGTGAGCAGGCTGGCAGGTTCCCTCCCCCTCCTTCTATCTACCCTTGGGAGGGAGGGCGGGGCAGAGGAAGTGCCAGGGCAGCCCTTCGGAATGTTGGAAATAGGAGAAGCCAAGCCTGTTCTTCCTTGAAAATGGACCCCAGGGGCCTGACTGCTAACAGCAAGGCCCTGGGATTCAGGGCCGCCACCAGCAGGGTGGAGCTGTGCATCCAGCTTGGCCCTTGCCCTCAGGTTTCCTGAACTCAAGCTGTTGTGCACCCTGAACACATGTTGACATGCCAGGACCTACAGCAACGCTGGCAGAGCCCTGCTCCCCCTGACCCCACAGAGTGTGTGTGTGAGCGTATCTGTGTGTATGAGTGTGTGAGTGTACCTGTGTGTATGAGTGTGTGAGTGTACCTGTGTGTATATGGTGTGTTGTGTGTGTGTCAATTTGTGGATGCATATGTTTGCATGTGTGTGTGGTGTGTATGGTATGTGTGTATCTGGTATGTGTATGAGTGTATTTGTATGTGTGTGGCATGTGTATGAGTGTATTCATATGTGTGTTGCTCCAGCCCCTAGTAGCTATGTTTCTAATAACCATATGTCAATAATCACTCAAGCACTCAACTTTTCCCTTGATTACAAAAGCAGGGAGCCTGTGATGGTGGTCTGTTTTTCTTCCACACAATAAAACACATTGTCTGCTTACTGTACCAGTATTTGGCTAACATTAAACCCTGGGGGAAGCTGAAATTGGAACCGTGAACAGCTAATTTTCAAAACATTTGTTTAATGTAAATTGTGTCAGCTCCCAGCAATAGTAGAGGACCTGGCGTCTCCATGTTGCTATGGCAATTCTGAAAATCGCCTTCCGGGGAGGCCTGGCAGAGCACCCCACCCCAGGGACACGATGAAACACTTGCACTGAAAGGTAGTTGGTATTTTTCAAGTGTCAACACCTGAAGTCCAAATCATAATTTCCTCCCCCAATTCTATATAATTTGAAGGTTTTGAAAATCTCCAGTGTGACAGCTGAGTTAGCAACCGTGGGAACAGTCAAACAGAAAACCCCACAACTCGAGTCCAGAGCTCTGGCTGTGCCCAAGCCTCTTCCTACTTGGGTGGCCTCAGGCAAGTGCTCCCCTCACTGCCTTGGTCTGCCCTAGCCCATAAAATGACAGGGTCTGTTCCAGCCCTACAAGCTAGTGACTCTGGGGATATTGCATAATATATTTTTGTGCAGGTATATGTGTAAGTTTGGTGGCAGAAAAAAAAAAAGATCTTGCTCCCATCACAGTCTATAATGAATTATTAACCTGCTTTTCAGAAAATCATGTATATAAAAAACATGTATGCATATGAAACCCTTCTACCTTAGATGTTTAAAATGTAAAGTCACGAAACCACTGTTTTGGCAATGTAGCGCAGTGTCAGAAGTGCAAGGCCTAGGGTCTGGGACCTGGCTGCATTCTAATTGCACCGTTCGTGCGTTCTTGGCGAGTCCCTTATGTAAGTGCCCAGATTCCCCATCCATGAAGTGAAGCTGCAACACAGGGAACTTGGAAGACTCCAAAGAGAATTCACGCAGAGCACTGTGTCATGGCCGCACTGCAGCTGCCCTGCCCGGGGCAGCTCTCTCATCCTGTTACATTCTCAGAACTGCCCTCCCCCATGTGAAGACCCGGCCCCCTCAGGGTGATGAGTGTGTGCAAAAGGCCAGGCTGACTTTGGTGAGTGCCTCTTTTCTGAGGAGTAAAGTGCAAATTAAGTGATTAATGGTCTGTTATGGCAGTGGTTCTCAACACCTGGGTTGAGACACCTTTGGGGGTCACATATCAGATTTACCTTAAATTTATAACAGTAGCAAAGTTAGTTATGAAGTAGCAATGAAATCGTTTTATGGTTCTGATCACCACAATGTCAGGAACTGCGTTAAAGGGTCACAGCATTAGGAAGGTTGAGGACTGCTGTATTAAAGGATGTCAAAGGAGTTGGTTTTAATGATTTGCAACCCTGACACATAACCAGAGGCTTTTCTCTCTCACCCAGACCCTCAGCCATTTCTAATAACCAGAGACTTAATATTAATTATAAATGTTTGGCCAATTGCTCAGGCTTATTACTAGCTAGCTCTTACATTTAAATGAACCTGTGGCCTGTGGCTTACTGGTGGTGCTCTGGCATGTTACTCCTTGGTTAGCTGCTAGCATCTCTCAGACTCTACCCTTCTGTATCTCTGCTTGGATTTCCCACCTGGCTCCATCCTGCCTTGCCATAGGCCAAAGCAGCTTTATTTATCAACCAATGAGAGCAACACATATTCACAGTGCACAGAAAGACATCCCACAGCACCGACAGTTCACTGACCTTTGACTGGAGAGAAGATGAGGCATAGGTCAACTTGGCTGATGGGTCTACTCTTATTCAATACTGAGCTCAACAGAGTCTTAAATGTGATCCCAGACTGACTCTGACCCTGCTATATTTTTTCAAAACAGCCCCGTGAATGCCCATATGCAACATTTTTGCATTTATATGAAAATGTAAGATTCTGAAAACCTTAGTCATTTGAGTAGCATGGCATTGCCTTGATCTTTTTTCCCAAGCTTCGGTCTAATACCTTGTATCACCACTTTTTTGAAAGAAGAGGCATTTTCCTTCTGTAATTGCAGGCAATAAGCTCCACTGGTTTCTTGTGTGCAGGACAGCAAGATTGACCTTAAGTTCCTTGAGGCTGTGGACGGTTCTCTGTGCCGCACTCAACTAACCGCTCTCATTCAGTTGGGGCTCTCTAGCCTCAGTTCTATTTCCAAACGCAGAGTCTTAAGGGAAGGCAACAGTGTTCAGTTTGCCCCGGTCACACAGCTAGTGCAGCCAGGATTCAATGCAGAATTTACAAGTTCACGTAGTATCACCTGTGCATCCTGTGGTCATGGGCCCGCTTCTTGGCAGGAGTCCTACTGTTCTGATGGTAGAGGACTGACTGCAAGCCATCCCCTGCAGGGTAAGTGGGGCACCACAGTCTTAACAAATCACTGCCGAAAGCCACCAGCACCATCACAACTTAAGTGTCTGGCTACACTGGTGGCTGCTGGCTTTTATGGCATGTGGGAAGTAGGATGCCACTCCACAGAAACACGCTCTGATAGTGGACACCTGACGCCCGTCCACGAGGCCTTCTTACTGCTTAAAAGGCAGTGTGCTCCCTATCTGCTTAACCCCGGGGAGACTCCTGCATCCCATTCCTGCATCCCATTCCTGACCACCGCCTGAGCAATCCCTTTACTAAGAGTGATGCTGTGCTGACTAGAATAGTGGTATTCAAGCTTTTGCTTCCACATCTCGTAAGAGAATTTTCAAAAACCTTTGTGGCATAGATATTCAAAGTCCGACAGACTCTTCCTAAGAAATTTTTTTTTTAAATATTTCTATCATCAAGTTTTGTCAACTACTTATATGCATTCAGTAAAATCAGCTACCCAGTACAAATTCACAACAAAACAGTTTACGAACACTGGAAAATTTGCATGCTTTCACTTACCTTCCTTTCATGTACCCAACAGAATTTAATTCTAATATGCTAGTGTATGTATGTGCATGTGTGCATGTGCTCGTGTGTGCGCTCGTGTGCTTGTGTGTGAGCGTGCCTATGCTGTGTGTGTGCTCGTGTGTGTGCTCGTGTGTGTGTGTGTGTGTGTGTGTGTGCGCGTGCGTGTTCATGTGTGAGCTTGCCTGTGCTCTGTGTGTGTGTGTGTGTGTGTGCCACCATTGGAGGATGGAAGTCAGAAGACAGCCTCTTGGATTCAGATCTCTCTTCACACCTTCACACAGGTCCGAGGGATCAAGCTTAGTTGACCGAGTTTAATGTGGTTCATGCCTTTACCTGCTGAGCCATTTCACTATATCTTTATGCCTAGTGTTTTAGTAACTTTTGTAGCAGAATACTGGATATTTCAATTCATTTGAAATAGTTCTTGTGATGTTACACTAAATGATGTACATTTTCCAAGTTAACATACTTAATAATATACATTTAATCAAACCAACAAGTGCTTTCCAGATTTTAGGGGGGGAAATTAAATTTTATTGGAAAAAAATCTTGTAGTAGATTGAATGATTTTTCTCCCTAGTTGATTCAAGGGTCCTAAGATGTCAGCATCCTGTTCTGTAGCGGGAGCTGTAAGTACCTTGATAATCATGCTCCCCAGAACGATGAGACTGAGAGGTTTGTTACAGTCACAACGTTCAGTCCTTTTTTCTCTTGTTACAAATGGTCAGATTAGTGGTCTCCCATCAGTTAGTGGACTTAGACTTACAAATGAGTTACAGAGACAGTGCAGAGTACTTAAGCACCCACCCCTCACCAGATTTCCGTTGTTAGCATGCCACACTCACCACTGAGTAGCAGCTGACATTGGTGCATTGTTATTAACCAGATGCTGCCAGTATGTGTCTCAGTGGTCTCCAGCTGTTAAGTCAGATTTTTTTTTAGTTTTGTTGAAAGCAGGGAACTGAAACAGCGCACACGTGAATGGCTTCGTGACCTTTGCTTTCCTCCTCCTCACAAAGTGTGTTCCCAAAGGTTGTGGCTTTCTGGGTAGCTCTTGGTTACCTGGCTCTCTTCCGTGAGTCAGGGCAGATAAGTTGGAAGTATTTGCAAAATGAGCGCTGAGAATCTGAATATACCTCAGCCCGCCCTTTTTCTTGATAAACTGCTTGTCTGGTTTCTGTGGGTTTAGTTTATGGAAGGTCAGCTATATCGTTGCCAAAGTAGTCCTCACTGCTAAAGCAATCGGCAAAATTCTGCTAAAGCAATCGGCAAAATTAGACATTTTTCCACTGCAAGGGAAGCTGTACTAGCAGTGCTTATGGGTTTGAATAGTGAACAGGTGCATGGCTAGGACTCGGTCTTTCCCTGAGCTCACTAAGTCACAGCCTCCACTGTGGGTCATGCCAGTGGTTTTGTTTCCTGTGTCCTCTGAATTGGTAGTGGGTGAGGCCTGGGCTGTCTCCTTGTTAGGAAAGACAGAGTTGTGTGGTCCCTGCCTGGTGGTCCATGTTCTAACTCTTTGATTTGTACAAGAAGAAGCAGGGAGAAGTCAGCAAGGCAGCCAGCGCAGACAGTACAACGGAGGGCACACCTGCAGATGGCTTCACCGTCCTCTCCACTAAGAGCCTCTTCCTCGGCCAGAAGGTAGGCGGACACTGCTCAGTCTGCTCCAGGGCCCTGGGAGAGCAGGCACAGGCTGACATTGCTGGGGGCCACTCAGCTCAGAGGGTGGGCAGACCAATGAGGGGGTGGCTTTGGAAGTAGCCCCGGGGAGGGGTGAATGCTGCCAGAATCGCCACACTGGGTCAGGGGATTCTGGCAGGTTCCAGGGAGGGGAGACAGTAGTGTAAGAAGGCAGGACGCTCCCACGGGGAGGGGGTTGGGGGGCCGGGACCCTTGGCTCAGCCCAGGGAAGTGGGTGACTCTGTGAAACAAGCTAGTTATCAGGCAGCATGGGTTGTGCCAGGGAAGATCTTATCTAGCAGTTCCGGTGGGCACTGGTCTGATCCAGGGAGCTGGGTGTTCTTAGACAAACTAACAGGTATGCCGGGGCCTCACTGACCCGCCAGGCGACCTCTCGAGACAACTGTCCGCTTTAACCATGGGCAATATATTTTCAGCCGTCACAGTGATGCAGCTTTGCCAGGATGCCATGGTTTTGTAAAAGTTGTTCACTTTTATTGAAAATAAAAATGATGCAAAGGCTTTTAAGACCCGAGAATGAGAGTTGATTAAAAGAGGGGTGGGAATATTCTCAATTAAAAAAAAAAAACAAACAAAAATAAAACCAAAACCTTTAAGGCCTAAATCTGCCCTCGCTGACCAGTTTGCAGGGTGTAAATTGGTCTGGAAGCTGCATCATTTTTAGATCCTCACTGTCAGTTTTATTTTGCATCACAATGATACCGTTTTTCTTGCTCACTCATTGCCAGCTGTCCCCAGCCATTCTATCATCTGTCACTAATTGCACTCAGGCTCCCATGATGCAATTCCTGTGGTGACTGTTCCGGAACCTAACCATCCCTGTTTACGTTCTATAACCATTTTCTGTATTTTGTGCGCATTTTTCTGAAGCAGCAGCTCTAGTTGTCATCTTAAGGTCTGAGGCTTTGAAAGCTTAACTTCTACTCCGCACCGGAGGCCAACACTGGGGTCCACACCTTTAACCGGTGCTTTTAACAGGTCTCCACACAACCAATCCCCTGCTGTTCTCCTTCCCTAAGGAAATGATTAGCCAGGGCTGGGAGGCCTAGTGAGCCGTTAGCCCTGCTTAGTCTCTGGGGACACCCACCCTCTTCACCCATCTCTTAGTCATTCCCGCTCTGGCCTCCCCCAATTCTTCCCCTTCTGCTGCCACCCTCGGCTAGAACTCACACCTGCCTCACAGGAAAAGACACAGTTGCAAACAATATGAAAGAACTGAGCTATGTTAAGTCCCACGTGAGAAAGAGATGGAACCTTGTGCACATCTGGGCTGTTGCCTGGAGCCCTGCTGAAAATACCTTGCTTGTGTCTGCAGAGCCAGGCATGGCAGCTGTCCGCAGCTCTCCTCCCTTGGGATCCTCCTGGTCTGACTGCAGAATGGGTACCTCAGGGCAAACACTGCAAATCTCTTTAATACCCTCTGTCCCTCCCAGGGCTGGCAGGGGTCCAGAAAGCCATAGAAAAGTATTGGTGCTCCAGTAATCTGCAGATGGCCTGAGGAGTAGAACAAAGGCGGCATCAGGCTAGAATACTAAGCTAGGGTGTCTGTCTGAGGTCTGGACTTTATGAAGACGCACTGAGTTAGAATCCAGAGCAGAACGGTCAGCCCTAAGAGGCACCAAATGCCGGCCCATTTTTCTGGACGTTCTGCCCTTCTTGCTGAATGTATGTGCAGTAGAGTGTGCTGGCTGGCACCCATGCTCCCCAGAACAGGTCCCCAGAATGACTGCCAGCGGGAGCTGAGTAACCTGCATCACCTCAGGTCCCCCTGGGTAGCCAGGTCAGAAATTAGGGTGCTTCTGTCCTTTCGATAACCCTCTACTCCTGCAGCCCGAGAGAGTAAGTGCGATCCAAGGCATTTCCCTGAAGCAGGGTTCCCGGCTTTGACTGTCACATCAAGTTTAGCGTGTAGTGCTGCGGGACAGGAGCGTCACACAAAGCACACCGGAAGCCTGGCTCGGACATTGGTCTGCGTTTGGGTTTTCTGGAAGTGTACTTTAGAAGAAGCATGGTTGTGACACCTGCTCTGGGCACCTCATTTCCCATCTGTGACAGTGACAGTGAAAGCAGCCCTTGAATGAGGCAGCAGGCAGGTGGAGAAAGGTGACACCAGCCCCGTGAGCCTGGTTGCTAAGCTACTTACAGGAGGAGCCGGTCCAGCCAGCGCTTAGGGGCCTGGCCTCTAACTGTTGTTGTTAATGATGCATTTCACAGACGGAAGTCTCAGGAGTGGAGTGATCCCCCTCATTTCTCTGTGACTTCCATGCTCAAACACACATCATTGAATTTTTTTTCTCTTTTTTTAAATGCTGTGACCCCCGAATCCACAAATGTTTTTGCCTTGTGGTTCCACTGAGACTTGGCTTTAAAAACCTCATGGTCTACTTAAAATAACAGCAGCAACACAAAGCCGCTTGCAGGACACGCATCCATGTCTGTTGGCGGGGTGTCTGTCTGTGGTGAAAGCCGCATGTGAAGCAGTTGGGAAATCGGGTTTGGGAGGTTATAACTGAGTCCCTGACCTCCGAAATGATCTGGCCCATGGTAGCAGCCTGGGTGTCAGGTGCCAGGAATTCCTTTTGACCCATGCCACTCCTACTGGGGGTGGGAAGTTGGCCAGAGAGCCCTCAACCCCACCCTCCATTCAGGTCGCTGCCAGGCCTCTGAAGTAGAACAGGGGATGGTGATGGGTCATGCATCACGGCCATGCATCACGGCCCCACCCTGGCCTCTGCTACTTTTTGGATGTCCATGCCTTCTGGGGCACTGCTTGGCCAGAAGCCCACTCTAGAGACCACGGCTCTGGTGAAGGGTAAGGCTAGGAACACGGGTGACACACGGGCATCACAGATGTGAACACAGGCGTGGCCTGCTCTGGCTCCCTGGGAAAGATGGTTCTAGTGAAGACACCCCCTCCCCATTCCTTTTAGCAGGAAAGCGGACTGTGAGGGCAGGAAAAGAGTTGCACTTAGATGTGAGTTAGGACAGAAGATCTGTAGTAGTCACCTTGGCATGTGTTAAAGCTGAATTCCGGACTGGCTTCGAGGGCCCAGTTCCTGAGTTTGGCGCTTCCTTTGGTCTTACTTTAAGGGAGAGGATATGTTCATTTCACCCCAGGAGTTGCATCTGACGGTGTTTGATGTTCGTTGCTAAATGGGACATAACTACCCTTGGAGAGGCCTGGGTACAGAAGGTGGTCCAGGTTAAGAGCAAGGCAGTTACCCTAGAAAACCACAAGGTCCCTTCCCCCACCAGTGGCTAAGTCCCTTCCTTCCAACCCCTGCTCTCATTGACAGTCCCAGTGGCCTGTCTGTGCAGCAGCCGCCAGCCTCACGCCGTGATGTAAAACTGAAGTTTTTAAATCTTCACTGCATGAACGCTAAAATCACCAATGATCTTTCTCCTTCCCGGAAAACCAGCCTATTGGGAATTTTCACAATTTCCTGGCAATCTGGTTTGTAATACAAGTCCTTCTCCTCTGCCATATGCTGTATGGTCCCATGCTCTTGGGCTGAGAGGAGGGCCTCCCTGCCTGACTTCTGTTTTGGCCCAGGACATTGTGGTTTGGGTGTGGATAACTAGACTTAGTGGCCCTTTCGGGACTTACAGCCACATCGCCCATATGCACTGTGCTCATGGGTGTTCTCTTGTCTGTTGATGGTCCTCTCGCTAATGACCTTTGACATTGGTTCAGCCTTCCCAAGCCAAGTTAATTACCCATTCTTCTTTGCTCCCTGGCAGTCTGCAGCACATACTCTGTAGACCAGAGGATTTTTAATCTTCCCGTATGTGTGCATGCTCTATAACAGCAGCAGAGTCTTATAGCCCAGTGCCGTGGTCTGACACACAGGCACAGATGGACAATCCCAGCATTAGCCTCATGCTTGGATGTGGCAGTCCCTCCCCCCCCCCCAAGCTGGGAATCAACCAGCATTAAGCCAAAGGCCTCCTCAGGTGCACTGGTCCTTCCAAGACCGCTCTCCACCTGTGATGGGGACAGAGAGCACTAGGAATTCCCCAGGAACCAGTCCCGTTTGCAGCTTTGTCCTAACCTTCAGCAAAGGCAGGGGCTGCAGTTTCCCCGAGAGCCCATTCCCCTGGGCAGAGCCGCCCCCCCCCCCAGAGCAGTCACAGGCCGGCCACTGATTGTCCAGGGGTGATGCTTCCTGCCTAGTGGATCAGAGCCCATGAAAACAGACGCTTCTCCACCGACTACAACCCCAGATCTACCCATACAGTTAGGAAAATGTTCTGTGGACGTTGAACCTGCATGACTTTTCAACGCATCAGCCTGTAGATACTTAAACGCGCACTCACTCATACCACACTGAGCAAAGGATTCTCCTCCCCCATTTTCTCCTTTCCCTCTCTCACAGCCTCTTCCTTTTCACAGTGTGATTTGTTTGTTTGGTTGGTGGGGGCATGAAGGATTGGCTTAGTTTGTTTTTATAAATAGTATTTATTTCTCTGGAGTCTGTGCCCACCCTACCTTCCTCCCAGCAAGAAGGAGCAGCCAGGGCCTGTTGGGTTCAAACCACTGCTACTGTCCCCAGAACCCAGAGCCCCTGATGGGCAACTTGATGAGGAACCCTGATAGCTTTCTGCTGTGCTTCAGAGATGGCACTAGTCCCAAGTCACCGCAGGGAAGAGGATGCCCAAGTGTGGAAACCAGGTCTGCCTTCTGCTTTGAACCAGTCTTTAGCCAAACAGTCACATTCATTTCCCCCACTGCTTTCTCCCAAAGGACTTTTAGACTTCGGGGATCTAGCGGCTTTTAAGGGTCAGAGCATTAGGGAAGTATTTCTCTTGTATATAGCTCTTCTTTAAGACAAGTCTGGTCCCCATAGTTCAGCACCTTGGGGCTCAGCAGCCAGGAGCCACCCTGGCTTGTATTCCATCTACCCACTCCATAGTGAAAAGCATCAGGACAGAGATTTAGGCCTGCTGCCCGCTGCAGGCTCAGACAAGCCCCAAGCCTAGGTCTGCTGGGTCTATGGGCTGCTTACTCTACAATTGATGTCACTGAACATGCCAGCCTGGCCACACCAGGAGGGACCAGGGCCAGGACAGGAGAATCCAGCACCTGCTGCTCTTAGTTAGTGATCAAGGGTTGCCATGGCAACAGAGCAACAGTGGGAGAAAGGTCAGTGGCCCTTCAGAAAGACCCAGTTGATGGGGCAGACACAATGCAAGGTATTTCCCAGCCAGCCATCGGCCTTAGTGCAATCTGAACAGTGAGGTGAAATTATTTTTGAAAAAACATTGTCTTTCTGGAGAACTACTGGGCTTCTTCTCGGGTGTGCCCAGAACTCCCAACGTCGTGTGACTAATGGGGGCACAAAATTAAATGTTCCCAAGCGACAGACCGTTCTTGCTCTTTGCTATTCCTGAGCAAGATGGGAGGAGGGAGGGACAGCCAGCATCTGCAGCGGCAGTGGACATAGCCTTAAAGACCTGAAAACACTTGCAAGACAGTGGCACCCCGTAGGTGTCCACACAGCCAGGTAGGGTTTCTCTACTCACTGCCTTAGAGCCCGAGGACGAGGACCCCTCCTCCCCTGCACTGAGCGCCCTGAGCCCTGGTGACCATGGCACAAGTTCCTTTACAGGAAAACTACCCACCTTTCCCCAGGCCAGTGTGACCTAGGCTTCCCTTTCTCCCTTAGCAACCCCTGCAGGCCCTGAATGCCCCTCCTAGCTTGCATCCCCGAGGAGCACCCTGTTGCCAGCAGCTCCCCTGAGCATCACAGCCCCACCCACCCGGGGTTCACTTCTCTGCAACTTGCCGGCTCTCCTGTTATTTCCCACCTCCTGCTTTTCTTTTCAGCTGAACCTTATTCACAGTGAAATCAGTAATTTAGCCGGCTTTGAGGTGGAGGCCATAATCAATCCTACCAATGCTGACATTGACCTTAAAGATGACCTAGGTAATTGGGGATGGGGTTTGGCACCACCAGCTGTCAGATGAAAATTTATGGAACCCAGAATTTAGGCTTTTCATTTGCCTAGACTTAAGCATGGTCAGGGCAAATCCCCAATCCTTGATTGGCATTTGGTTGTAGACCTTAAATACTGACGCACTCTAGGCTGCTCCAAATGGAGATGGCCACTTATGTCTTGTCAATTGCGATTGGCTATTTCTCCTGGATTGCAAATACATTACCATCTAAATTCTCTTCCATAATGATCAGACTGGCTGCTGGTTCCCTGGGAGGGATTTTAAAATGTGTTTTTTGGTTTTTTTTTTTTTTTTTTTTTTTTTTTTTGGTTGTTGGTGTTCTTTTTATTTTAATTTTTTTTAAAGCTGAAAAACCTCAGGTAACTACGAAACAATAGTTTCTCCATTTAAGCTTTGGTTAGAATAAGAAAGTGTATGAAGGAAAGCAAGCTAGATTTTATACCACGGAGCCGTCCTTTATTCAGAAGCAAATCTCCCAGCTCTCGTCCTCAGCCTTTGCTCCCCGTGCCTTGTGTGGCTGAATGCCACCTGCATGTACTGTGGCTGGGGGAGATTAATCGGAAGGGCAGACTTGTTCTGAGTTTGTCCCCATGCAAGGAAAGCAGGCATTCAGCACAAGCCGAAAGGTTCCCTCAGATGACCCGCCTCTGTGGTTTCATCCATGAGAGGGACGGTCAGCTCAAGGCATGATGAGTCCGCTTCTGGGGACTGCCTTGCCCGGCACACAGGCTTCTCAGATGCCTCCAGGGTCAGTGCCGTCCACCACTGACCACAGCATCTTCTCTGTGCCTTCTGCTCCCAGCCGCAGCTGCTTCTGTGCTAACCCGATGGGTTTCACATCAGGGAGCGCACTCCACCCACACAGACTGCTGAACACAGACGGAGCTCAGAAATGCCCTAGTTGGGATTTGTTTGCCACCTGCTTTAGCCAGATGCCACCTGTAAAATAAAAGGGCGCAGAAGCTATAAATGGTAGCGGTTCTGTCCTAAGTATGTTGAAAGGATTCACTGGGAAAAGAGAAAAGCCTGGGAAAACACTTCCACCCATTCGGGGAAAAAGAACAGGCAGCCCTGTGCATGTATCCGGGATGTTTTCTTGAGCTAGTATTTGAAGGGAGGCAAAAATGGTAAATGCCAGAGGAAGAAATCAAAGCCTCCAAGTTGACTGCTACAGACCAATGGAGAAACTCATTGTTGTGGTTGGCCTGACAATCCACATTTTTCCAAAGCAGATGCCGTGTTCTGTAGCCTTGTCAGTGGGGTGCCAGCATTGTACAGGCTTCTGCAGGGTGAAGTGGGGCCTCCGTTGTTTTGTTTCTTTTAATCTTTGGAAATGATCTCATATGTGTGTTTCTATTTTTTTTTTTTTTGACTTGTCATTCAAATGTTTAATTTAAACATGTCACATTTGATATTCCTCCTCCTGTCCTCACTCCCATCCACACGTGCGCACACTGCGTGGACTGATTGCCCCTTGGGCTCATATGTTGGAATCGACCAGGTAGGCCTGCCCTGCCATTGGGGCATTAGTAAATGTGCCTGTGCGTGGGTCTCGGTCCAACACAGTTGATCTACATTTGTTTACCTGTTATAGTTGCAAGTTGTTCAGGCTGACATTGCCTCGATCGACAGTGATGCTGTCGTTCACCCGACAAACACTGACTTCTACATCGGTGGTGAAGTAGGTAATGCCGAGCTGGGTGCTGCCGAGTGTGTGTGTGCATGGTCAGTCGGCCGCGCAGACAGCTTGATCCTTTGACAGCTACGCAGGCTGCATTCATTTCACACTTCCAGCCGTCCCGACCTTCCTGGGACCTTCGTCCCCGAGTTGTGAACTGGAGAGCACAGCAGCTGGCCGTCAGCCAGTGCCTCTTGCAGCTGCCCCGTGGGCACTTCTGGTTTGGAAACTGGCTCGGCGGCAACATTTCTTCCTCCACCTCACGAGGTGTAGCTTTGCTGGAGACTGGGTTCCCGGAGGTTTCGGTCTCAGGCAGGTAGGGCCACTCCCGTGCCCTCACCAGAACAGATGTGCAAACTCTCTGTGCCCACCCAGCTTTCAGATGTCAGAGGCATGCTCATTCCCGTGAACGGCCTCACCGCTCAGACACACAAAGGGGTCACCCTTCCCAAGTGTGTTCAGTCAGATTGGAGGCATGTTTAATACGCTGTCCTGGAACAGCGCCTGAGATGAGAAACACCGCACCAGACGAAGGGAGCACTTGGCTGTCTCCTGGCAGCTGCCACCCATGAGTCCATGGGTGTGGCTGAGGAGGGAGGATGAGGGAGTCAGACCCGTCACTGCCCTGAGGGCATGGCATGAGGAGATGTTCCCCCCCCCCCCAGGAGGACCGTGAACCCTACCCACTGTATGACCTGGCCAAGCTGTGTAAGCGTCCATGCCTCCTTGTCTCTGCTTGGAAATGAGGATTGTGTAGTTATGTGCATCTGTGATTTGACACGGATGTGCTGGTCCTGTATTCTTGAAGGATGAGCTGAGTCCTGGAGGAAGACTTAAGTCCAGGGCGCTAAGTACAGACAGGTGAGGACTGCGCTGCCCAGCTTGACTCAGTGTCACCAGCAGAGCCTGCTCTTACGCTTGCTTCAGGCATTGCGGTTGGGGCTGATGACTCACCTGGACACTTTGGATTTCAGACACGTGAGCAGTTGGCAAGTGTGCCATGCCAAAATGAAACCAGGCTGCAGAGCAGCTAAGGCCCCCTCCTAGGAAGGCAGCGTAAAGAAAGATGTTTCCTTTCTCGACTCAGCAGAAACTTGATGGGAAGGAAATACTTATTTGGAGAAAAGTAAATAAATGAACAGCACAGGCCTGGTCTTGTTAGCTGGGAATGCTAAGGCCTGCTCATCCTGTAATCCAGGGTGTTTGATGCAGTGGGATCTATGAAGACCCCAGAAAGAGCATCTCACTCAGGCCAGGGGACTGCTGGCTCTCTACCCAACACACACACACACACACACACACACACAGATTGCTATCGTCTGTGGCTCATAAACAGTGTGGGTCAGAAAGTGTGACCAAGTACCACCACTGTCACAGCTAGAAGAACCAGCAGGAGGAAAGCCTAGGTGGGAACCCAGTCTTCCAAAGCCTGCCTCTGTGCTCTCTGCCTAGAGATCCAGCCCAAACTAGTACTGGCCTCAGATACCTTGTACAATCCCAAAACAACAACAATCCAGATTCATGCATGGCCTCAATTGGTTCCAGCTCCCACTTTGATGTGAGAAGGGAAAAGAGGGAGCTGGGAAGAAATGGCTGCACTTTTGCATTTTTGGTGTGAGTTCCTGAGTCCTGAGACTGCTGGAAGAAGGGATTCGAGTGCAGGAATGCTTAGCCAGTGATTAACTTCTACCCATCGAAAGTTCTTTCTAACAGTGAAATAGACCACAGGCTGAGCCTGACATTTGTCCAAGCCTAAATTTTTGCTTAGGCTGTTTTGAACACTGATACTTATGCCTGCCTTCTAAGCATGAAATAATGTCCTTGTACTCATGGGAGTAACACATGTTTATGCTTGGGGCGAATCAGCCGACTGCTTTATGATTAACCCTGAAGTTGAACCTAAAAAGCAAGAACCTTACATTAAGAGTGTTGTTGACAATATGGTTGAAAATGGGCCTGTTTCTTGTTAAAAAGTACACGTGTGTCTACATGAACATGTGCATACATATGTGTGTGTAGGAGTCAAGTCCTGAATGGGTTGATTGCCTGTGACCTAGGGTTCCGTTTTTTAAGTTTGAGAAATGCATTAAGTGTATTTTTAGCTTGCAATTTCACTTCTAATTAAAGCAGTATTTAATTATAAGTAAAAAAGAAAAAAGTAAGCACTCTTCCTAAGATAAAACACCTTTAATTATAAAGCAGCCTATTTCCCTAGGAGAGGTCTTATATCTTAAAAGGGAGTCAGTGACCTTAAGAGAGGTGCTGACTTTATTTTTTCATATTGTTCAGTCCAGTCCTCACCTAAGAGTAGATGTCACAGAGAATGTGAGCCTTAGATAGTAGCCGGCAGAATCCTGTCCCTCTTTACATTTGACACAGGTTAAAAGAGGAGGACTAGACTAATGAACTGACCAGTTCAGACCCCACACACCTTTTCATCGGCTGCATGGATTTTTCAGCTGAACCTCTGTCGGGGTCTCGCCTCTGGGTAGAGTGGGGACACGGGGCCCAGAGTGGTCCCCTGAGACACAAGGCACATTCGGCTGCCACTCTGGTGCTGGTTTGCTATGAACAGGAAGCAGCGGCAGGTAGAAGGCTTGGGGAAAACCAGGGTGCTTTCAGGGAGGTAAAGGCTTTCGAGCAGTCTGACCTGCTGAGGACAGACCCAGGGTCCCACACAAGCCTCCCACGCCCGGTCCTGTCTTAGCCGAGGACTCTTCACGGGCCATGCACTGCTCGCCACCCATCCCTGGACCTTGGACTTGTACAATGGCAGTGATGGCTCAGTCCCTGCTCTGTCTTACCCGTGACGGAGTTTGGGTTGTTTATTGCCTTTCCCTTGCAGACACTTCCTGGGGTTAGTCAGTTCAGGTACGAGGAACACGCATGTACACAGGACCGGTTCTGTAGAGACTGTTCATTCCAATCTGAGTTGGTACTTTCCAATACTTGACCAACCCAGGTACACTTAGCCTAAAGATAAATGGTGAATCTTAAGGGGCCTAGTTCATCCTCTTCAAGGAAAAGCACTTTAAAAATCACAAAACTGAGGAACCAGAGCTTAAGGAAGACTAGGACTCTGTTCAGGACGAGCCTGACAAGCTGCTGTCGCCACAGCGGAGATTGCTGCTGGTGATTCCCACGAGCCGTGGAACCCTGAGTTCTCACAGGCACTGGTCATCTTGGCTTTCATGGCAAGTATCCTGGTTTCAGAAAGACCTTCTTAAAGCTGGGTCCTGAGCAGCCAACTGCCCTTTCCCAGGCACTGTGCAGTACCAGTTGCTCTTTAAGCTCTGCTTCCGATGTTTTCCCTTTCCCTAAAGCAATCCCAAATCATTAATGTAATTAAGGAAATAGTCTTGACCATTCTTCCTTCTTTCTTTCTTTCCTTCCTTTCTCTATTTATTTAATTCACATATGACACCAAGGCTGCAAAATAGGAACTAAGCATGGAGTGCTGGCCCAAAGGTGGCCAAATGGGAACACTTTCTCCTTGGCCTCCTTCCAAGAGTTCTGGCTGCTTGATAGGAGGAGCGTGTGCTACTGTTCCACAGACCTCATTTGGGGCTCGCCTCCACCAAGATAAGCCCCTCAGCAGACGCATTGGAAGCCAGTGCTGCCTGGTTTCTCATGCCAATGGGATCGTGCAGTTCAGGCACGTTTGCCAAGAACAGATGTTTCCTTCCTTCATGTCCCCACCTCAGTCACCCTGAGAGAGGGGCAGCAAAAGAAGCCACAACTGTAGTGCCCTAGTGGCCACTGGCCCAGGGCCAATCCTTGCCAAGCCTTTACTCCCTGAGCAGCCCAGGTGCAGGTCCTGTTTTGCAGCCTTGTGAAAGTGTAGCTGCTCAAACCACTTAAAGTATGTAATGGGGTGACCTGTCTAGTGTCTGTGTGCCACAGATGTGGTGGCCCTCTGACCCTGCCCTGCCCTTGCCTAGGAAACACGCTGGAGAAGAAGGGTGGCAAGGACTTCGTAGAAGCTGTTCTGGAACTTCGGAAAAAGAACGGGCCCTTGGAAGTAGCTGGAGGTAAGGTGGGAAGGGTCCTGTGCTCGTCTGGTGTGGCTTGCACGGTACTGGGGAGGAGCGGAAGGCCTGTGAGCTAGACCATTTACAACAGTCACAGAGACTCGGGAAAACCACCTTCACATTTAAAAGTTATTTAGTAGCTACCGTCTGGTATCTCCGTCTCACACAAAGGAATTGCAGAAGCCAAGTTTGACAGATCTGAGAGCTGGGAGCAATCCAGGGTAAGCCTAAGCCACCTTCTTCAGCCAGCTGTGCTTTTAATGGGAAACGTAAACACCCATCCCTTTTGTGCCGTAACCACTCTTCTTGGAGAGCGGAAGAAAAAGACTGGGGATGTCCGTGGGGGACGCGCGGAACTCTGGATGTAGGACACAAGTCTGCAGACCAAAGGATTAGCAGGGTTGAAGAAAGAGGCTTCCAGTATCCATCAAAGGGGAGGGGCACCCGCTCTGCATGAAGACAGACCCTCCCCATCCTCAGTTCAGATTCTGTAGTCCTGGATGCCCATTTTGTCAAGGCCTTCTGTTTTAAAAGTAAACCTTGGCTGAAAGCGAACACGAGTAATTATGTATAGTGTCTATAGAGGTCTTCTCAGGAGAGGAGCTGGCCTTGCCCAGCAATGAAATGTCACCTGCATCTTGGACTACTGTGGCAATTGAATATGGGCTGTGCCTCTTTTTCCTGTAAGAAACACTGCGTGCAGAGCGCCGATTGAAAGGCTCTTCCCAGGCAGTCTTCCCTAAGGCCAACCTTGCACAAATGTGGACGAAGACAGATGACTGCATCAGGAGCTGCCGTGATCCCATTGTAGGCCCACCAGTGACTCTTGGCACATGGTGTGGTCTGATGGGAAACAGACTGGCTGCTGGCACAGCCAAACCATGCCTATGGGAAGGCTGTTAGGATGGTCCAGAAGACTCTTGGTTGTTTTAATAATATCTTTTGGTCTTGATTCTAAGCTATTAGGACTTTGTTGTTGTTACCCAAGCTGGTCTCAAACTTCTGGACTCAGTTGATCTTAGCTTAGACTATTTTGAAAAATATCAGTAGAGTAAAACCTACCCCTGCCCAGAGCTGATCTGTTAATATGGTGGATTCTAGCCCCTTCCCACTCGGCTCAGCGCCATCTTCAAAAGTGCTCCTAGCCATAGGACAGAGCATGGTGACCTGGTGAGCACAGTCCTACCACTGTTGACGGCACCATGGGACCCTTCAGAATGACCTTCGCCACACCCTTGGTGCAGTGCTGATTATCCAACACACAGGTTTAGATGCTCAAGCAAACCAGGAACTGGAGTGTCTCTTCCTGTCACGGCTCCTGAAGTGCACGGCCCCAGAATTGCTCTAGGAGGCTGGTTACAGCACACGTGTGTAGCAGAACTGAGACTGTGTCCTGAGATTTCACAAAGGACAGGGGACAGTCATGGAGATGTGTGGCTGGAACCCCCAACCCCCGCACTCCAGAAAGGGAAGGATTGCATCCTCAAGAGCCAGTCTTGTCCTGTCATCGTGGACAGGATCAGGTCACACAACCAGGCTGCCACTCCCTCGAAGCCTTGAGCTCCAAGGCTGTGTTGAACGTGTGTAGCAAGTTAGAGATCCGTCATAGTTACTCGCTGACATTCAGTGGAACTGGTGTGTAAGGCCTCACAGCATGTTCCGAGGCAGGGGAATCGCTGACATTCCTCTACAGCTCCTGCTAGCAGTGAGTTGAAGGCCACTGTCCCGGTGGGGGACAACTTAAGCGTGCTTCCCAGCACAAGCTGATGTTGGAGTCATAGCACAGAGGCAGCTGCAGTCTTCCCTGGACTCAGGCCCGCAGAGGCAGCTAGGGGATCACAGGAGAGCAGGTGTGGGTCTGGTCTCTTGTGACGTGTGCGTCTTCTTGTCCCTTCCAGCCGCTGTTAGTGCAGGCCACGGCCTGCCCGCCAAGTTTGTGATTCACTGTAATAGTCCAGTCTGGGGTGCAGACAAGTGTGAAGAACTTCTGGAAAAGACGGTGAAAAACTGCTTGGCCCTAGCTGATGACCGGAAGCTGAAATCCATCGCCTTTCCGTCCATTGGCAGTGGCAGGTATGGTCACATGTCAGTCATGGTATCTCTTCTGCATCATGGCCGACAAGTACAGAGCTGTCACTTGATGCAAGCCCTGCTTCCGCCAGAAGCACAGTCCAGAGAGCACCAGCACAGTGGCTTACTGGGGCTGGAGAGTCTACTCGGCTATTACAAGCACTTCCCTACTTCCCTCCTGCTCTTCCGGGATACTGCTTCCGAGCATCCACCCGGGGTGGCTTAAAACGGCCTGTAACTCAAGCTTCAGAATAACAAGCTCTTGGCCTCTGCAGGCGCCCATATACAGGTAGCACACACAGATACACATACACTTAAAAATCACTAAAAATATGGCGTGCCAGTGAAGAGTTAGAAAAATCTAAAACTCTGATAGCAAGTGTCACCACAGAGTAGTCGACAGACAGACAGACCTCACAGAGTCTTGAGGGGCACTGAGACCCCACAGGGTTCAAACAGGAGTAGGGAGAAGAGAAGAAAGGGCCTTTCTAGCACAAGCCTGTGTGTGAGTTCAACCTTGGATTGCCATTGAGACTTTTGGGCACAGTGTCTGTCTTTGTCAGTGTTCAGCTGCTGTAAAGACACACCGTGACCAAGGCAACTCATAAAGGAAAACATTTCACTGGGGCTGGCTTACAGTTCAGAGGTTCAGTCCATTGTCATCATGGTGGGGAGCAGCGTGGCCTGCAGGCAGACATGGTGCTGGAGAGGGAGCTCAGAGTTCTGCATCTGGATCAACAGGCAGCAGGAAGAGACAGCCACTGGGCCTGGCTTAAGCTTCTGCATCCTCAGAGCCCATCCCCACTAACGCCGCTCCTCCAACAAGGCCACGCCTCCTAATAGTGCCACTCCTTATGAGCTCCCTGGCCCCATGGGCTCGTAGCCATGCCGTAAAGCAGAAATGCACTCAGTCCAACTTCAGAAGTCTCCAGTCTATCAGTCTCAACCCTGTTTAAAAGTCCAAAGTCTCTTCAGAGACTTGTGGCGATCTCTTAACTGTAATACCCTGTAAAATCAAAGCATGACACATACTTTTAACATGGAAGGGCGCAGGATACACACTACAATCCCAAAAGGGCGCATAGTGAGGGGACCCTGACCAGAGCCCAGCAGGGCAAGCTCCAAACTCTGCAGCTCCATGACTGATGTCAGAGCACTCTTTAGATCGCTAACTCCTCTTAGCTTTCTTACTACAACACACTGCTTTCTCCTGGGCTGGCTCTACTCACCGTTAGCAGCTCTCCTCAGCAGGTACGCTGAAACTGTGGCATCTCCAACCTCCTGGGGTCTCCAAAGGCAATCCGGCTTCGCCTTTTACACTTTCACACAATGGCCTCTCTAGGCCTCCATTCAGGGATGCCCCTGACACATGCCTGGCCTCCTTAGCCACAGAGGGAGGTGGATACAAGGTAGGACTGAATGAAAATATCAGAAGACAAGTACTTGGGGTTAAGCCTTGCCCCCAGCTCCTGCTCATCATGTACCCCGGGATAAGGGCAGTGATTAGCTGAGCCCTATATTGTGCTATCCTTGTAGGCAGCCTCTGCCCTGCAGGATAAAAGCAGCTCTTGCCAAACACTCCCTAACACCCTCAACAACCGTGGCAGGCAGAGGCCCCAGCTCCCGTTTTCGGGCATCACTGAGATCTCACACCTTAAGTAACTCCACCATGGTCAGCTGTTGCTGACCCTGTGTCTCTGGAGCCTTTGGTGCCCCCACTGTAATGGCGGACAGAGCTCATTCCAGACACACACACACACACACACACACACACACACGCGCAAGGCCAGGAGCTGCAGCAGATTCTCTCCATCTACAGTGTTGCTCACTCAGGTAGTCTTTCTGGGACCTCTGGATGAAGGACCAAAACTAGGCCCTCACAGTGTAGATGAGCTTGAAGGACTCCTGAGCGGGCGAGAAGGAAAGCTTGCTCACACCTGCACCATGTTCGCCCCTGCAGCTTGCACACCTGCTACTTTTCTGCAGGTGGCATGCCGAAGCAGGAGCTCAGTCCAGCACACCTGGGAGTCCCTGGGAGGTGCGGTGGGTGGCTGTGTGTAGACATCATCTTAAAAATCAGCACCAGAAAGCTGAGGGTGAGGGCTGACCTGTAATATCCGCTCTTGGAAGATTGAAAAAGGGTTGCTGCCAGTTTGAGACCATAAGACCCTTCCCTGTGCCCTGAACATAACAACAGAGCTGAGCCTTCCCAATGCCCTTTGCATCTGCTGTGCAAGTATCTGCTAAGACAAGCGTCTTTTTCATAAAACTGGATGTGTAATAGGTGGCAGGCTCCCTCCCAAAGTAATTTAAGATCTTTTTATCTTTATTATTATTATTACTATTTTAACAGTGCTTCCCGTCAGAGCCTATGCAGCCATACTTATTGCTTCTGCTTCCCACAGAAGGTCTGTTCTTTGACATTCTGATACTATGCTGTGTGACCTCTGGTAAACAAATCAGTCTCTCTGTTCTGGGCCTTCCTTAATAAGCGAGGCCATGGGGTCTCCCCTTCTTCACAGATGGTTCGGAGGCTCAGTTAATTAGTGCCTCGGATGCGCTTTGATCTGCCCTGATGAAAGGTGCTTCTGAAGAGCAAGGCAATAGCAACCTTTATTGGAGGTAATAATTTCACGCTCTTTCATACGGCTATTGGGAAATTCTTAATTGAAGCATAAAAGCAATTCTCATAAAAGAACATCTGTTATTACAAACTTATTTACATTTTTCATGGAGTAAAAGTTTTTAAAAATAACCAATGGGAAGCCTTTAATGGGCGGAATGCCAAAGGCAGCACATGTGCCGGCTTCCCTGGCCACATCTGCCAGGCAGACCCCGTCCACAGCCGTGCACGCAGCTGCCCTTGCTTTCATGGGGGAAAGAATGGGATTATATCAGGCCAGCCAGTAAATCGCTGGGGTTAAGAGTGGAAATAGAACGGCTTGTTTGTGGCATCCAGTGTCCCTGGCATGGAAGTCAAAGGGGAATGCAAACACCGTGACACACTGGTGATGGCCCCCAGAGGTGCTGGCCTGCTCCCGCCACCTTCTGGCTTTGACTGGGGGCAGTGGAGACCCCATTCATTAACCCTGGTCTTGGCCACACCTTGTGCTGTTAGACACGAGGAAGAGACTCCTCCTCTTGGGGTGCACACAGGGACTCTGTGTGTGTGTGTGTGTGTGTGTGTGTGTGTTGCACTATACCCCTCCCTCAGATTTATGAGCCTAGAAGGAAAGCTACTCGTACTTTGCAAACACCATTTATGGGCATCCAGGAGCCCCGGGCGCTGCTAGCAGCAGTATCTCTACTGTTAAATCCACTCAAAGGTTAAAGAGTGAACGTAGAGGTGAAGGCAAGCATCCGAGGTCACACACAGCCCATCCTTGGCAGAGTTAGACTTCGCTGGCTGGCTGGCAGGCAGGACCCCTGCCCACTGTGTATAGATTTTTCTGGGAACTGTGGCGTACCTCAGCATCGCCTGAGCTGCCAGGGGACAGCAGTGTCCTGTAGCCAGGAAGGAGGCCAGAGCCCACCATGATGTCCTCTGGCCTGTCAGGAATCGCACACGGGCTGCTTGCTCTCCTGCTGGTCTCCAGCTGTGGTAAAGGGGCCCCCACCATCCTGTCAACACTGTGGGTTCCAGGGCTCTTGGCTTCTTCAGGCAGCCACTCAAAGGCCACAGAGAATGTGGGAAAATGTTAAAGACCTGGAAACAGCAGCATGGCACAAGAAATCTAACCCTAGAGAGAGTGCTCAGATAGGTGACTCCCTGTCTCCTATCCTGTCTCTGGGATGTGGCTGCTGCCTGAGATTGTCTGGGGCTCCAGCCGACCTGCTCCTCACAATGGCCCTTTCACCCCTGGAGGGGAGGAGGCTGAGTGGCTCCCACACAGCAGCGAACCCTGCACGCTAGGGGAGCCGGAGCCTACCCCCAGATCTGGCCCTTCTCAACCCAGCTTTCCATGGAGCCAGTGGGCAGAAGCACCCCATGTCTGCCTGCCCTGACAGAAACCCTGGCGAGCCCTTTGCACTCCTGTGGGGAGACTGGGGAGAGAGGGTGCTTCAGCACAGTAGCAGAGGCCCCAGGGAGGCTCCCATGGCTGTAGAGTGTGCCAGACAAGGCCCAAGACGGCTAGAGCAGGGATCAGTCCTGCAGGAGGAGCATGACGTTCCGTGAACGCAAGTGAGGGCAGCGGAGTCTGGGAGGGGCATCACAGGTGGACTTAGCGGCTTCTCCTCACACCTGAGGAAACCAATGGTCACACCCCGCTGCTCACACCCTGCCCAAGAGCAGCTGTGTGGCTCACCCAAGTTAGAGAAGAAGGCAGAGACCTGGCAAGACTGGGGTGGCCAGGCAGATGGGGACTGTGGCAGTTCCTGAACCAAGAAGCCCATGCTGTGTGCGCCAGCAGCCAGACCCACGGCCTCCAGTACTACTGGGTACCACACACGGGCTGGCAGCTCTGTGAGGAGCTAAGGCTGGCACTGCTTACAGTGCTTACAATGATGATGCCAACCACCGTCACCCAGCCATAGCTGAGGGTTAGGGGTAGTGTTCCACCACAGGAACCGTTAGGATGATCCCGGAGACCAGTTAGCTCTAGTGGGGGCCTGGTCACGCCTGGATGCTTAACACGCATTATCTTGTCCCATCCTCCGCCTTCACGGGGCTGGGCAAGGCAGAGACGCAGGGATTGTTGTGTGGCCAACTCATCTGCAGCTCTCTGCTGCCCTGCCTCTGTCCCTGGGGAAAGGGCATAGAGTCAGATCACCTATGTGCAGCATAAGGGGCTAGCCATGGCACTCACTGCCCTCAGCCTCAGGGTACAGGGAATGGTGCGTGAAGTGTCAGCGACCCACGTCTGCTTTGTCACCCATGCCAGCAGCACAATGAAAGCACCTACCTGCTGTTTCTTCCTGCTGCCTCCATGGCCTCAGCAGGGCCCTTACTTTGGGGCGTGGCTTCCCTGGACAAACTGGTTCACAGGGTGGAGCAGAAGGGTCCGCTGGGCGGATGCTGATGGTGTAAACCTCCCAATCCAGATTATGGAGTCCTGCCCTGCTGCCCCAAGGGGTGGCCACAGAGGGCAGGGCAGCAGGTGCAGGTTCAGACTTAGGACACAGGAACAGGAAGGAGCCTTCCTCCAGCAACAGGAGAGAACTGGAAAGCGCTTGACGGTCTGCCGTGAGCACTGGACCAGCCAGGAGTGACCAGCCTCTGGGCGGGCTGGCAGGGCTATCTATGGTGAGCACACAGGAGGTCAGCTTGTGTCCTGGCTAGGGAGTTGCTCCAGGCGGCCCCTCGGGGCCTCCTCCAGCTCTGTTCACCTGGGCAGGTACAAAGGGACAGCAGGCCTCCTTTACTGGCGGAGCATGGCCTGGGCCTTCACGTGCAGAGGACTGGATGCTCCTCCCCCCCCTTCTCAGTTCCCACCTATCCGCCCCTCCCAGCAACCCTCTGTTTCCTGGATCTGAATTCAGGCTACAGCAGGACACAGGGACACTCAACAAGTTAGTTGTGGGCTATTGGACAAGCTCTTCACAACCACAGGTCAAACTTAACCTCCTCCAGCAGCCCTACCCAGCACACCCCTCTGCGCTCCTCCATACCTAAGGAAGTCATGACCCTGTGCCCATCCGGCCTTCAGACCTGAGGCAGCCAGTTTCCGTCCTGTCCCTGCCATCTCCAGCCTAGCTAGACCACCAGGGGCACTGTGGGAGGAAACTAGACTGTTCTATGTGGAGAGTCCCGTCCCCCCCACCCCGGGAAAACACCCTGAGGTGACACTATCCTCTAAGAATGGGCTGCATTCCTGCAGTGTGTGGGACTGCCCAGGTATCCTAGGTGACAGCAAGTCGCAAACGAGTTTTTCCTGTGTCCGTGTGACACCTTGAACACTAACACTGTGGAGAATGTGGCTCCGCAGGTGGTTCCGAGGCACAGGCACATGGTGCAGAAGGGAGTGTGCTGGGAACAGGCCACCCCACCAGCAGCTGGTCCCCACCCGGAGAGGCCCAGCCAGAACAGTGCAGGCTAAGGACAGTGGACTTCCAAGAGCAGAGCCATGCCCATGAAAGCCACCCCAGGCACCAGGTTTCCTCCACCGGCCTGGCCAGCCCCCAGGCACTGCAACTCCTATAGGTGCATACACAGTATTGACCAGGTCAGGCTCAGGAGTGCTGAGCTGCCAAGTCCTGAGTGTATGCCCTGTTTAACTTCCAAGCTCCATATGACATCTTCAGTGGAACCGCACAACAGTGGCAGGGTACTGACCTGCAGACTTTGTGACACCCTGAAGACAAGAGGCTACTTGGCCCAGAGTTCTGCTCTGCACCTTGTTCTTGGCTGTGACACTGAACAATTCATTTGGAGATGATCTCTGGGCCAACAACCCTTGCTGCCATGACCCCCAGTAATACTGGCATATAAATGGAGGCCAGAGCCACTCAGAGACTCCCTGGCCATGATGGGATGACCTTGGCTGGAGTCTCAGTAGTGCAATGCTAACGCTGGCTCTGGGAACAGTGGACAAAAGAAGCAAGCGTATGCTCCTTGACCATCTCATGCACAGCCAGCCTTCCTCCTCCTCACCGGCCCACCTTACAGAATGCTCCCTGGGAGCTGCCTCCCTGTGAAGGCTGCATCATTCTTCCTGTGCCCATGGATGTCTGGTTATCGTCTGTCATCTTGTGAGTGCTGGGTGGCTCTGTCCGGATGATGCTCTACAACAGCCTTACGTTTGGTTTTGAATGAGTTGCTTGTTGAGCATCAGGAAACGAAACGAGTAGAGGAAGACACAGTGCAGAGCAGGTAGACAGCAAATACCACAGCAGGTGCTTAAAACACCCAGCAGAAATTGGCTCTAGAAGCCTGAGAGAGAGAGAGAGAGAGAGAGAGAGAGAGAGAGAGAGAGAGAGAGAGAGAGAGAGAGAGAACTTAAATGCATTTGTAGCAAGCAGCACATAGATATCATGAGTCAGCACTAACCAGCTGAGGAGCCGCATCCCGCATCAAAGCTGTAGCTCCCCATTGAGACAGTAATAAGCGGTGTCCATGCATGAGCGTTTGGCTTCTCATTCCCACTGTAGGTATTCTTAGAGTGCGGAATAACCGTGACCCTGGTTAGAAATGGCTTGCCTTCTGGTTGTGCTCAAGATCTCTGTTTTCAATGCCATTGGCTGTTTGCTCTTCTTTCTCCTGTGACAGAGCCAGTCCTCCTCAGGACAAGGAGTCTAGAAGGACACCTGAGACGCTCTGAGACAAGAGAGGGTAGACAGTGCATGACAGTTCTCTGATCCGCTCTTCCCACAAGGGCTCTGTTACCCTCCTGCGTGGACCCCTCCAGGGCTCAGGAAGCAGCAGCCCAGAGTGAGGACCGTGTACGGGAAGCCTGCGGTGCCTGTGTAGGTGCCTGAGCGCTAACTGACCTCTGTTCTCTTCTACAGGAATGGGTTCCCGAAGCAGACAGCGGCCCAGCTCATTCTGAAGGCCATCTCCAATTACTTCGTGTCCACCATGTCATCCTCCATCAAAACCGTGTACTTTGTGCTCTTCGACAGTGAGAGCATAGGGATCTATGTGCAGGAAATGGCCAAGCTGGATGCCAACTAGGCCAGTGATCCCCAGAGCCAGCACAGACCGTGTCCCCTGCCTCCAACTGGAAAGAGAGAGAGAGAAAACAAAGCCCTTTGCTCTTACTGGGAGGTGGGACTCTTTCCTTTTCGGTTTCCTTCATCTAGGGAAAATGAGGTTTTGGTTTCCAGTTTGATTGTTTTGGCCTTCAAAAATGTTTTCTGTTAGCACTGATAGTCGGCATTGTCCTCGTTAAGCACTGTGTCCCAGACCGTGTCTGACTTAGTTAACCTAGCGGATTTTATAGTTTTACTTTAATGAAGTCCTGATTAACACAGAGCGCTGGGGAGGACAGTCCCTCTCCTGTGTCCCAGCAGCAGGAAGCCCCATTTGTAACGTGTGTTGTGACGCTTTACTGTACACCCAGTGGCGTTCTTTTTACTATAATGTTTTTCCCCCCTCAGAAGAAAAAAAAATCATAAAATTTACAACAGACCTAACTTTTGTTTACTTTTTGTCTTAATGATAGATTTGAAAATGAGAAATGTTAAAGACAGAACAGAATCTGTTGTCCTTAATTATATTTGCAATCTGAAATTTGTGTGAATTGATTTAGTAAAAAGGTAAACTGTTGTGACTGGCATGCTTTGCATCATTGTGCATGTGAGCCCCAGGCCAGTCTCCCATGGCAGCTCACAACCCAGAAGGCTCCCAGTCTGTCCCTCTATCTGGGCCAGTAGGTTGGACATCTGCTGACCCTAGGGATGTGTAGAGAATTCATGTAGAAATCTTCAAATCTCCTGAGCATGGTTGGGACATCAGCCCCATTTCACAGAGAAGGAAAGGCATGTACCCAAAGCTACACAGATGGTAAGTGGCAAGTACAGAGCCATGGCCTCAGAGTCTGGGCCAATTCTCTCCTACCTACCCTCCTGGCCCCTGCCTGTCTCTGGCTTGTACCTGGGCTCTGTGGATAGAACTGAAACCGCAACCCCTCTGCTGGTTTGCATTTGGCCAATACCCCTGAAGGAAGGTCCCTGGCTAGAAGGTCCCCAAAGACACTCTGTCACCACCAAGGTCCCAGGATGTCTAAAATAAAATGCCTTAGGGAAACACAAGACTCTTTTTGCTTTGTGGGCACACAGAAGCTGTCTCCCATCTCTTTTTCGGTCTAGAAGAGCAGGTATATAAAGCACTCTACAGAGTGTGGATATAGGAAAAGATCTCTTTCCTCCGGGGTGTGGTGGCAGGGACTAGCCAGGACTGTACAGACTAAGTTCCAAAAATCAAAGGGAGTCTCACTGACAGTCTTAGCAGGAGACGCAACCCTCTTAACTCAGACCTGAACAATACTTAGACAATCTTACTCTTCGGCATCTAAAACAAAACAAAGCAAACAAACAAACAAACAAACACCCAGATTGTTTTGCTAGGCGTACATTGTCTCATCACTTGATTAGAGCAAGGCTTAGTTTGGCACTGATTTCCCAGGGGATGTCTCTAAAACCAGGAGCTCGGACTTTGTAGGGGAGCCGCTCCATCCTCGAGGGCGCCACCCCTAATGTAGGCGCTGCAGAGGCACAAGTAGACACTGCTGTTCACTGGGCATTTGTTGTGTGCCAGGCACTGCAGTGAGCCCTTCCTGGGCAACATTTCCCATGCTCCTTGCTATCACGCCAAAAGGCGGGGCCTCCCGTTAGCCACACCCCAGCTGGCTGAGGGTGATTTGCCTAGGAGGACACAAGATGTCCCCTGTGCACAGACCCTGACACTGATCACTGCCAGTCTGCCTGCCTTGGTGGCAGTGCTGACTCAGAGAGTGGAACCTCTCTGGCACTTACCGAAATGTCCACAAGGAGCCCAGGTTTCTTTACCTTTGAAGAAATACCAGTGAAGCATTGCGGAGCGTTTGAAGGCCTTCCACTAGATGTCGCCCAAGGGATTGGGAAGAGGAGAGGGCAGGCAGTTTCTGTTCCTTTTCTTTTGGCAACTGCACAAAAGAATTCATTGCATGAGTTACCAAAATCACCTAAATGGTTCTAAATTTTGAATTTCCAGTGTGCAATGGTTCCTGGGATTGTGCGCACTAAAGAAACTTCAGGGAAACAGAGGAGAAGGTGTAGCTGGGCACCTGAGAGTCCCGGCATCTGTAAACCAGCTATTTGCTTTCTAAAAATGGGTCAAAATGTGTTCTGTGCCACCAGCCTCCTGTTTGAAGGTGGGGTTAAGGGGAGACTCGCAGCTTTTGAGAAAGGCATCTATTGGGGCTGGAGAGATAGATGGCTCATCTTTTGTACATGGCTAGGCTCACAACCAAAAATATACAAAATGTATCTGCAAGGGGCCTCTCAAAGCACACATCTGCCTCCACTCAGACGACCAAGCTTGAGTTAGTAAAATGTGCATATAAATTGCTGTGGGGGGTTTGTGCAGGCACCAGAAGAGTTCTTCTGCAGCCCAGTGTATCCGACTGCCACAAGCCACAGGTGAGTGACAGCAAATGCCACAGAACAGAGTTCCCATCTCCATGCAGATCTCAGGACCACATACTCGTGTATTCCAAAGTGGCCCCAGAACACAAACTCACCCTCTCACTTAGGAAATGCTTTTTCCTGTGTGTCCTGCTCCACCGTTTCCTTAAGACAGGGTCTCTACTGAACCCAGAGCTCTGCTGGCCGCCAGCAAGCCAGCCCACATGGTCTTCCGCCCTCTGTCCCATCACAGCCCTTTGGCGCCACCTGGAATTTTTTTCTTAATTTTTTTTTTTTTAATGGGTGCTGTAAGGATTCAGGTGTTATGCTCACCTGCCCCAGTCACCTGGCACAATGCATACAGGCAGTGCCCTGGTCAGCCCAGGGTTCCGGTGGTTGCACAGTCTGCACGGAGGTGCAAAGGACCCCTTAAAAAAAAAAACCCACGTTGAACCACTCAGACGCCCTGAACACGGGTCTCAGTTAGGAGGCCTGGGTAGTCTAAGGGACCTCTGACGGTGGAACCAGGATGTATTCCTGGTGCATGAAAGGACTTTGGGAGCACAATACCCTTGGAGGGATACTCCCTTAACCTAGAGGCAGGAGGGAGAGCCTAGACCCTACTCCAGATAACAGATTTGATGATCCCTCCTGGAAGGCCTCACCCTCCCTGTGGAGTGGGTGGGGAATGGGACAGGATGAGAGGGGGAGTTGGGGGGAGGGGGAGTTGGGGGGAGGGGAACGAGGGAGGAGGAAACAATAAAGAAAAACTAAAAAAAAAAAAAGCCTCCCCCCCCCACGCAATCTAAAAAACAAACAAAAGGACCAGCCCACTCCTGACCACTCCTCTTTCCTGCCATTCCCCTGGGGCAGACAGGACTCTTCCTGTCTCTTCCGGCCTCTGTCTCTGTGTCTCTTTACCTCTTTTTTCTTCCTCCCCCTTTTCCTTTCTAATAAAGCTTCTCACTAAGCTCTGCCTGGAATGTTTGTCCCTCCACCTCAGTCAGCCTCGCCCGACATGGACTCCACCAAGGTTCCCCTCGCATATTGTCATAGAAGGTGCTAGAGATTTGAACTCGGGTCCTACTGTTCCCACAGCAAGCACTCTTATGCACTGAGCTATTTCCACCCGCTTTCCTGACTTGTTTCTGAAGAGCCACCCTGGCCCATGGTGGTGGGATTCCACCCTGAAAAAAAATCCACGGTTTCCTCAACCGCCTCCTCCCAAAGCCTTCAAATGACCCTTGGGAGCTAGCAGATACCACAGCTCCAACTGGGGCCAAACTAACCACAGCAGCAGCAAGTATCCACACACACATCCTTTCGCTCGCTCCTCATGACGAGACTATGAGGACGGCGACATTCTTCCCAGTACAGGAAAACAGGAGCAGCATATTCCCACAAGACCCATGGCTAATAGGGAGCGAGGATTTGAACCCAGCTCTGCCTGACTGTACCAGAGCTTCTCCAGGCAGACTCCCCTTTGGTCCATTATTTTGCTCTGCACTTAGGCAGGGTTTCTTGTCTGTCCCCTGGTAGGACCTGGGTGTTTGGAGCCATGAACAACCTACCCCATGAAAGATGGAAATGTGTACTGAAGGGGCCGGACCGAAGCTCTGCGGCCAAGAACACCGGTGCTCCTCTAGAGGACCCAGGGTTCATTCCCAGCACCCGCATGGCGGCACACAACTATCCTTAACTCCAGCTCCAGGGGTCCCAACACCCTTCTGGCCTCCTTGGGTACCAGGCATACCCAGTGCACAGACAGATGCACACACATACATAAGAATAAAACTTGAAAATGTATGTTTAAGCAAGCTAGTGCTTGACACGACTGACTGTTGTCTGTGATGGAGTGGCCTGACGCACAGGCGAGTCAGGCACTGCCTGTGCCCGGCAATGGGTTTGGAGGAGTGAGTTTTCTGGTGTGGGAGGCTCGAGAGTTTCTTGGAACATGTAACCTCCCCCTAGACTTGGTAGGAAAGGTTGGAATCTTTCAGCCAAGAGAGCCAAGCGGAAGGTGGACAGCTCCCTGAGCTCCAGGCGGGAGGCGCCCCGACCCCTCTGCTGAGGATCCAGGCCTGGACCCCAAGTGCTCATGGCAGCCACTCCTCCCCAGTCTCCCCAGTCTCTGTGTTTGGCAAATTCCTTTCCATTCAGTGTCAGGTCGATATTGGGTCACAGCTACAGCCAGGCCTGACAGACAAGTCAGCTTACACACGAATGGGGTAGGGGTGAGCACGACATGGGCTCCCACCGATCCCCCTGCTTCCCCCAGAGGCTACACCTCCTGGTCCCAGGGCTCCGAGGCTGCCTGCTCAGCCTTCCTCGGGAGGCAGGCAGAGCCCAGCAAGTTTCTCCATTCCATGTTAGCCATTAAGGCTGCTTGCCAGTCACCCTTGGGCGCCTGGAGGCAAAGCTTGGCCCGTGTCCTCATTAGCAACCATGATATGTAATTTTCCCTGCGGCACCGCTGGCCAGCTTTATCTCAGAGGCTGGCCCTGGAGCCACCCTGTGTGTGGGGTCTGCCTGAGGGTGTGGGGCAGGAGGGAGCCCGACACCCAGTCCTCAGTGAGAAGGGACAGGTCAATGGCAAGGGTGGGGCTACCTTCTCTTGGGCTTTTCTTCTCTTTATAACATGACCTGCCGTGTTTGCTTCTAGGGGCCCCTCATATCAAAATCATATCACATGACCCTCCCAACAGGTGAGGCAATACATTGCTCATTAATCCCAGGCCCTGCACTCCTGGCAAAGGCATGTAAATAGACTGGCCTCTCCCTGACCCCTGGAAACCAACCCAGCTGGGGGCTGCACTGTCAGACTCAGAACTGTTGCAGAAACACTGCTTCCCGCCCCAGGAGCCACCTGCGTCCTCGGCTGCCACTCCAGCAACCCCATCCTGTGCCCAGGTGTGTGCATGCACACACACACTCACACACATGCTCACACGAGTGCCCGAGCGCACACACTCACATGCCTACACATAATGGTATACATATGTGTATATACATACATAGGAAGTTCTGGAGCCTTCTGTTTGGTCAAGGACAGAATTGAGGGACGTGCAAATAACCATCCTTAGAACTGGAGTAGAAGCAGCGGAAGCCACCTCCCAACAATTTCTG